GATTATATGACAGAGAGATTACGAAAATCTACATATTTTCGACTGGTTTTATGAGCGTTTACTGTTGCTTGTAGCAAATTGCCTACTGAGCTTCACATAAAATTCAGTTCCTACACTTCTACTTTTTCCAAAACAATAGCCACTCGGCATGGAATATAAACGAAGAGATGATTTCGTCGTCCAGCATAGCCTTCCGGAAAAGTATGATAGAGCTGCTTTTTTTCCAGCCGACTAAAACCACCAAATTCCGGATCGTCACTGCACAGGGCTAATGTATATCTGAAAGAAAAAAAATGATATAATCATACCATTCTTACGATTTATAAACTAAGAGAATTTTTTATATCATTCTTACGACTCGCATATTAAAAATAGTGGATGTTATATCATTCTTACGATTTGCATATTAAAAATAGCGGGTTTTATACCATTCTTATAATAATTTTATTAAAATAAGCTGATTGTAGCATGACTGTAGCATACAAGTAATATTAAGAACTTAAATAGGGCAGGAATAGAACGAACTATGTATTGATCGATGTAGAAATACAGCTGGTGCAGGAAAAATTAGTATGAAACAGTTAAGATGTTTCGGTCCTCCATTAAGTCATATACGTCTTAGCACAACACCGCCACTGGGCCACGTCAATATGACGGTTGCGGTGTTTAGAGATGAGAAGAAAAAACGAAGGGATGGAAGGCAGGAAGAAAGAAGGAGAAAAGAAGATAGGAAAGGGGAGATTTTTTAATTATATCAAATTTAGAATGGTTGAAAATGATTAAGAAATTTAATGTAAAAGTGGAAAAGTAATTTCACTGATTTTACTAATTTCTTAATTCCCGTTTCGGGACTTTTTCTTCATTTCTCCTTATTTCAATATATCTTCCTATTACATGCTGTCAAACTTCATCAGTGCAACTCATTCGATGGAGAAAAGTTATGGTGGGAACAAGCAATCCGTGATGGGGATTCCTTCTCATATTTTGATCAACTACTACTGTTTCACCATCATGCTAGTAATCCTCGATACCAATGTAGCTGGCGATACTCCCATTCTTCTTCATTTCGAGCTTATCCGAACTTTGTTCTTTCACCGTACTGGCAACTTTTCCATGTTCGTTTTAAAAAAAATGCAGAT